TCTTGTCCACTCTCAAACTTTTCCCTACTCAAGAAAGGTTTGTCACAAAGGTTTGTGACTGTCACAGAAGTGACTGTCACAACCCAGTCTTTGGGGTAATCTAGGAATGGTGATCAACCTACAAAACAGTTGCTCACTGATTACATGAAAACTACATTTTCAAGATAATTGATGATGGCACCTAGCCCATTTCCCACTTCTGGAAGATTTGTTTCAGTTCTTTCTTTACTAATGCTTCAGTGCAGATTCTTTACCCTTTCCTCAGAGATTTTGCGAGTTAAGTTTTGCGTTTCCTGCTTGCTTCTGTTACTTAACCCATGATTTAATACTACACATGCCACCAGGAATCAATTATAGAAATAATCCAAAGGCTTACAATAACCTTGGAAAAACTGCACTGTTGCTCAGGCTTTTTTTTCCACAGCATATTCCAGGTGGTATCCTATCAGAATTTTCTATAGGTACTTCCAAAGAAAAAAACAGCTCTGCAGTATCCTCTAGTATCACAGGTTCTTAACTTGTAACTTCTCTTTTTCAAAAAAAAAAGAGCTACACAAAGTAGAAGCTGAACCAGTGCCTCTGTAGGGAAGCAGCAGGAGGAAGGAGTTGTGAAAAGTTATCTTTCCCAGGGCTGGCATCAAATGCTGATAGCCTGCTGTAGTTTAGAATCCATTCCTAGATCTGAGGTACTGGTGGACATTAAGCAGATCACTGGACCTACCATGTAAATGAGAAGGTTTTTAACCTTTCCTACTTTTCAATAAGGAGATTGAAATTAATCAAAGTACATCAAGTGAAAGGTGCTAGGAAAAGTATCATTAACAGTAGAAAACCCTGACAAAAGAACTCCAGCCTTCACCATATACATTACTCTACAAGAAGGTAACAACTTTGAGCTAAAAAGTTGACAAAGGTATATCTCTGTCCCCTGTGGAGCACAGTTTTCTAGCAACTTCATCTTTCTCCACATTACCAAGGCTTCTGTAGCCTCATTTCAAAAACACACTTGAAGGCACCCCAAGTCGTCACACTCTTGAAAAACCTGACAATGCAGGAAGCTTATTAAAATTAGAAAAAAAAACCAAAAAACAAAAAAAGTCACGCTGCAAAGATGGCACAGAAAAGTAATCAATGATGGAATTCAATTTACACTTACAGATCATGCAGCCCCCCTGACTCATCCAAGCCACCCTGCTTTATCAGAACTGCCAGCATCACTCTGAGACAGTGTGCAATAAAATAAGGAAAATGCATTCAAAATGTGCAACCTCAGTGATGCAGTCAGCTGAAAAGCACTTTCTTCTCACTGTGAAATGCCACAATATGGTTGATTTAGCTTGGAAGCAGATGTATATTGCTGCTGCTATTCTCACTGCTTCTGCCGCACCTGTTTAGTGTGGGACTTCAGGGCTCAGGAGATCCACCAGCACATTTTGTGTGGCTTCACATATGGCTGTAGTCCTGAGTAATACGGGATGGAATCACTCTTGTGCATCTAAAGGATGCAGTGCTGTGAGATAACACCCTTATAGGCCCCTTGTGTCCTCACAGTGGGCTAATAAACTGGTTGCTCATGAATCAGGCCTTGGCAGATGGCAGGAACGTCAGCAGCACAGCTACTCCAATAAAACAAGATGACACTACTTTCATGCAACCCAGTTCTGTAGACACAGGTCTAGTTGTACCTGTCACCTGACCAGGTTTGAACCCTTGTTATTCTTATCGCAGGTTTAGTGTCTCTGTGTTTGCCAAATAACAAATGAAGCTTTTCTGTTCTTTCTCCTATTTCAGTATAGAGCTTGGGTGCTAAAATAAAGCTCATTAAGCTGATGACTGCTATTCATTTGAATGGTACTACTGCATCTGTGGTTTTAGTTAAAAGTACTGCAATCTCCTACATTTCATGGTTGTAACATGGCATGATAAGGGAGTATAGCATTTCTCCTAATGGCTCCAAAGCATTAGTAACACCTGCAGCTGCAAGTAATGCTGTATCTCTTAGCAGCAGCAGAAGAGAAACAGAATGATTTAGGTAGGAAAGCACAACATTCTTAAGGGCTCCAGTCCAAAAAAGCAGAGCTAATTTTGAAGTTAAGCCAGGGAGGGGGCATATCGAGAATAATCACCTTCATCTACCATCATTGGGCAAGACAGAAATTAAGTGTTTGTTTGTGTGGATCAAAAGTAGTCTTTCTAAGAACTAACAGTGACAAAAATTACCAGCCAATATAGATTCCACAGCAAGGAACTGATAACAAAATATTTGTCTTAGCACTGCCTATTTGCTACTTGATTGAGACTTCCTGATTTTCCAGAGATTGGATATGTAAAGCATGCAATGGATGTTTTTATAGTCAGATTAAAGGACAAGTAATTTCAGAGAGGGGCTGATTTTTAAATATTGTTTTCTCTTAGTGACTGAAGTCAAGCAAAGTCACCAAGCTGCAGATTAGTTTGCAGCTCTTCTAGCCAGTGGCTTTTGAACTGCTGTGTTTGATTCGCTGGCCAGAACAGATAAGGCACAGCAGTTAATATACCAGTGAGTCAATGGAAACACAGCTAAAATTGCAACTCTCAGCACTGCCAACATCGGTGGAATTATCTGGGCTGGAGCAATAGTGTGAAATGTTAGCGAAACAAGTTGCACATAACCTCAGCTTTGCTCCGTGAACCAAACAGCTGTGGGCTGCAGAGCTGAATGAGCATTACTCAGAAACAAAATTCATGTATACACATAATTCTCTTTTTTAACCCCTACAGGAATTTTCAAATCACAGTTCCTCCCACTCACAAATACCACCCTTCTCCAAAGTGACTAAAAACCATCGTGTCCCTCCTGTAAGAAACTCTGCTCTCTTCTGGTTTTATTCAGTATAAGAATGATGCATGAAATTTAATCTTAAAAGTTCCCAGAAAGCACTGGATCCTGAAACACAGAACTGTAGATTTTCAGGCAGTCCCTGGTCAGGACATGTCTACATTGCCACAGCTGCTACAAGTTGTAGGTCCATATCTCTCATGTTCAGTATCTTCCCTACACAGTCTTTTTGCCCAGTCAAGCAACTCTGTGGTCACAGTTTATCATGGAAGTGCCACCCTATCCACTAACTGGGAACAGGAAGGGTAGACTGTATGTAGGAAATGACAATAGACATCTTGAAACTCCACACACAAGTCAAAGGCAGGCAAAAGAAGACTATGCCCTAGTCTCCAGAGAGCACTTACCCCCCTTCTCATCCCCATCTTTACCACAGGGCTATGTAAGGACTTCCTTCCAAGGAATTGTGCTTCTAAAGGGCTTTGTGAAATGAGGATCATATCTATATGATAACGTGTTCCTTCTAAACACTTCCATAATGCCTCTCAGACATACATGGCAGTGTGCAGCACTCCCGGATGTGGCTATGTGTCTAAGAAAGAGGGAAGAAATATACATTATTTAGCTTAAAAACTCATGTGAGATTGTGCAGTTCAAGTCTGCAGGCTGTTGCCCATCAAATAACTATGGGGTTTTTAATCTTAAATTTCTTCTTAGAGTTGGCTACCTGTGTCTCCTAGTGTTACCTAAGATCTAGAGGATGGCAGCTCCAAGGAAAAGGCTGTTCTGTACTGTCTCAATAGCTCTTTTCTGCAGGCTTTTGGGGCTGCAGCATCTGCAAGTGAGGTTAATGAGGATGAAGGCAGCTTTTGAGATCTGAGGCTGGTTCACAAAGCTCCTGGGATGCTTACGCTCATGCGAAGCCTGGCATGATGGGTTTGGAGCTCCCTAGGGAAAAGCGAGGCCACTGTTACCCATCATAGATCTTCTTTCTGATAGTATCAGCAACGCAGTAAAAGCTTACACCCATTTTTTTCAGTGCATGGCCCAAATGAGGAAGAAAAGTAGTGAAAAGAGTGGAGGAGAAACTTGCAGCAAGAAAGATCTCTTGGATCCTTTGTGGTGATTTCACTGGAAGAGAAGATCTGAATCTGGAGCTGTTCCCGGGGTCCCACATTTCACTAGTAACACAGCACAGGCAACATATGCATATGTTAGATCTATGTTAGATTGACTTTGGACTTTCTTACTTATTAAAACATGCTCAAGTCCCACAGTTAAGTAAAGCACACCATTCCACAATCCCCTGAGCAGAGTGGGTTCCTGATAAAGAAATTATGTAGGATGTGACATATAAACACATTTCCAAGTGGCAAGTCAGTTTCTTAATCTGCAGCACATCAGTTCCTCAACCCCATGTTTCTAGCCCACGATAAATGCAAGGTAGTTTTAAGCTCACAGATTCCAGTATGCTATGGTGACACATTAAGTTTATCTCATCGTAACTTGCTTATGTGCTTTATCCTCACATTAAAACATCTGCCAAATCCACAGTTTTACAGTGCCCACACATAGCTGTAACAAAATCAATTCTGCATGGAATAAGCTGATGCCCCACTTCTCAGGGTGAGCTGTTTCCATGCTGAACTAGACTCTCAGTCATTCAGGCTCCACCCAGCCTCCAACCAAACCAAACCAGAATGTCTAAAGGATTTTTTACAACAGGAGCAATGAATCCCACATCTTACCCAACTCCCTTCTTTCTAGGAACTGACAGAATCATGTCACCATATTTAGGGAAAAGAGGGTGGGGGCACACACATTTTGTTGCATGTTACTAATGATGGAAAGTGGCAAATTCAGACAGAGCTTTAATTTTAACTAAAGTTGTTTTGAAACTTAACTGCTCTCTTGAGGTTCAAAGTGGGATGTCTGTGATAGTTGTACTACAATGTGTATCTTGGTCTACACAGTAGCTCTGCAGGGATTACAGATGGCTTGGGATAGTGGGAAGAGTGCAGGCCTGCAGACTGCAGACTTACTGCATTTGAAAAATTCCACCTTAAGAAGTAATTGGATGTGTCTGTAACTCAGAGAAGGTTTGCTAAGCAATGACACATTGCACTTGGATCTGGAAACATAACATCTGGAAGCCAAATGTTAGAGGCAATATAAAAGGGCCAGCCCAACAAACCAGCAGGGCATTTCTAAGCCAGGAACATCCTCAGGATGGACCTCGTCCTTCTCTGTGTGTTCCTGCCTCTGGTGTCTGTGGCATGGGGCCAGTATGGTGACTATTACTATGGCCCCTATAACTATGGAGATAATGATGAATGGGTCAATGTGTACCGGCAGGGTTTCAATTTCCAGTGCCCACATGGGCAGGTGATCGTGGCCATCAGGAGTGTTTTCAACAAGAAGGAAGGCTCCGACAGACTGTGGAACTATGCCTGCATGCCAGCGGCCCAGAACCTCGGTGAGCCGACAGAGTGCTGGTGGGAAGAGATCAACAGGGCGGGAACTGAATG